TCTGAGCCTCTCGATGGTGCTCCCAAGGCCAAAATCCAGCCAAAGGACCCGGAGTGCCTGTCAGGGGAGACAGGGCTCCTGAGAACGAGGCGAGCACTCCAACAGCAAACCTCAGAAAGCTGCACCCAGCAGGATCAGTACAACTAAGAGCCATGGGCAGGAAAGGACCAAGAGGACCAGAGGAAACAACCCCAAGAAAGCCGGAGAGAGTCGGCAGTCAGGGACTGAAGTCAGGGTGGAAGAGAAGCCAATGATGCCCAAGATGAAGCGGAGGAAGAATCAGCCCGAGCTGAGCCAAGAAACCTTTAAGCGGCCTCGAACCAGCCTCGGCCAGCACATGTTGGAGTCGGTGCAGGTGTTTCATGCTCTGGGGCGGAAGAGTGAGAAGAACACCGGGCCCTCTTCCTCCCGGGCCCTGGGAACCTCCAGCAACCCCAAACACCCCCAGCCCTGCCCAGCTATCAAACCGTGGCTGGATAAACCACTGGAGGGTCAGTGTCCTGAGGAAACTCAAGTCAAAGCCCAGAAAGCAGAGAGCAGTGCTGAAAAGGAGTGTCCACCTCCATCCCGGGACGAGCTGCCACCTCCTGGGAAGGTCAGGTTGGTACCTTTGCCTTTTCTGTCCGTGGACAAGCCTCCAGCTCGACCTGTTCCTCGGAGGCCACAGGCTCTGGCCTCACATCGGCCTGCTGTGGCAGACCCTGCCCGGCCTGCTTCCACCAACTCAGCTCAACCAACTGCAGTCAATTCCACCCACCCAGCTCCTGCATCTTTGACAGGTCCTGCCAGACCAGCTCGGCCAATTTCCACCTACCCCACCCGACCTAGTGTCCCTCCGTCTGCTGCTTCAAGGCCTGCACCCTACACAACAGCGTCTTGCACTTCTCTCCAGCAGGAGCCCGTTGCCCCTGCTGTGCCCACGCTCCAGGCTCCGCCCAAGCCTCCCGCCCAGTATCTACTGGAGGATTTCAGCAGGCAACCAATTCCATGGAGGAAACCCGACATTCCAGGGCCAGTGATGTCAGAGCCCATCACACAGGAACAGAGGCCAGAGCGGGAGGCCATGAAGAGGCAGGCTCAACAGGAGCGTGAGAAGGCTGCCAAGTACACCTCTCGGGGGAAAGTGCAGTTTTTCACTGAGAGGGAAAAAGAAATGGAAATTTCTCGATACTACGGCTACGCGATATAAGGCTGCTAGGGCTCTTGGTGCCCCTTTGGGGACCAGTTGTTTTTCCAGAGATAGATAGATAGATAGATTTCTCTTATTCGTTTTGATTATTTAAAAACTTAGTAAGACAGTAAATAAAGTACTAGAATGAATAGATGAGGAATAAAGAAGCCTTCTGTGTTTGGAAATGCTGTTAACTGTGTTTTTTCTGTGATGGGGGTGGGAGGGAACCCAATTCTTCAGGAGAAAAAAAAGTGAAGTTGGACAGGAGATGAGGGAAAAGGGAGACGAACTGACGAAAGAGGCCATAATTGGGTGCAGGGCTGGGGAGGCCCAAAGGGGAGAGATTTTAGGGCTTTATAAAAAGAAGCAGGAGTCGTGAATGACAGAAGTCAGAAGCAGGGCCTGAGGGGAGCGTTAAAAGAGTAAAATTGGAATAGAGTTGACGACGGCAGCCGATGAGTCTAGGTTGACCAGGAGAAATGTAAAAAGTCTCTCAGGGAGGCTGGTCTTATGGCTCACGACCACCACATCGGTGTTTTGGAAAACAAGAGATTCAGGACACCTTCCAAAAGGCTTGGGTCACTTCATCCATGGATGACTACGGCTGGGGACGGTCAGTATAAATCAAAGGGGAATCTACGGGATGAATGGCCAGGGCTGAGTTACCTTGGGGGCAGCTGATAACAGGAGCCTCCCCATGGGAGCTGCTGCAGCAGGACAGGGCAGGCAGAGAAATTTCCTCAACTTCTGTGCACCAGGCCCACGAGCCCACTACTTCAGTTAACCTTTGCAACCACACGCAAGGCCAGGGTCACTGAGCCGCTTTACTACTGACGTTCCGCAGTGGGCTGCAGTCACACTGCCTGCGGAGGAGCAAGGCCTCAACTTGAGACCTGCATGCCAGCAGTGCTCAGTATTTGCTAACGCCTGCTGGCGACCAAGCTGGCTTTCAGAGCACAGCATCCAGACGTTACTGGTGGATGAGATCAAACTTCTGGAGCGGGGCCTAAACTTTTTTTTAGATGTACTTCATTCTATTTCCCCTCTGTACAGACTATGTCGTTTTCCCACCCAAGGTCCAATTGCCATACATCATCCTACACATCTGCCCCTTACCCCTTTCCTCCTCCTCCCCCGCTTTCCCCTCTGGTATCTATGTGTTTGTTTATCTTCCACATATGAGTGAAGTATTAGGTATACGTCTTTCTCCATCTGACCCATTTCACTTAGCGTGACACCCTCAGGGTTCACTCATGTTGTTGCAAATGGCAAGATTTCATGCTTTTGATAACTGAGTAGGATTCCATTGTATATATACCACATCTTCTTTATCCATTCATCTCTCAGTGGGCCCTTAGGAGGTTGTTTCCAAGTCTTGGCTATTGTGAATAATGATGCAACCAACATACGGGCGCATCTATCTTTGCCAATTAGTGTTTCCACGTCCTTTCGATAAACACCCACAAGTGGAATAGCTGGGTCATATGGTAGTCTTATTTTCAATTTTTTCAGGAATCTGCATTCTCTGTTCCATAGTGGCTGTACCAATTTACATTCTGACCTGCACTATATGAGGGTTCCCTTTGCTCCACACCCTTCCAACACTTGCTATTTCTTGTTTTTCTAATAATAGCCCTTCTGACGGGCGGGAGGTGGTAGCTCATTTTGGTTTTGAATGCCCTTTCCTAAAAATTAGTCATGTTTCATGCCTTTTCATGAGCCTGCTGCCCACTCGTATATTTGCCTCAGAAAAGCGTCTGTTCATAAGTATTGACGTGAGAGACCTGCCAGGTCCTCCTGAATCCACCTGGCCTGTCGCCACCTTTTCTCAACATCACTGTCCTCCAAACCACATGAGAAAAACCTGCCGGAAGCGTCCGTCACACTGCGGGAGAGTGGTGGGTGTGCCTGTGCACTGGGTCGCGGCTCCACCCGCACAGGACTTGTGTGCCCAAGGGTCCAGAGTCACTCCCTGGGAAGTCTTGTGGGGCACCTGGAGGGGCTGAGCAGGGGAAGCGTGGGGGACAGGAGGCATACAAGGGAATGCAGTGGTTGGAGGGGAGTGATGTGAACAGTAAATAATTACCGTGGGAAAATTGGTAATTTACATTTCTAAAATTATTTTTATTGAGATATAATTCACATGCCAGAAAACTCACCTTTTGAAACTCTAAATTCAGTGGCATTTAGTACATTCACAAGCTCAGGCAACCACCAGCATTATCAAACCCATCACATTTTCATCACCCCTAAAAGAAACCCTCTTAACCATTAGAGGCTGCTCCTCACTCCCTCCTCTCTCCAGACCCGGCAACCACTCATCTGCTTTCTATCTTTACGGACTTGCCTTTTCTGGACATTTCACACATCTGAAATATACCACAATACGTGACCTTTGTGTCTGGCTTCTTTCACTTAGCAGAAGGTTTTTCAACGTCCATCCACGTTGTAGTGTGTGTCAGTCTTTCATTCCTTTGTATGACTGCATAATGGAGCCACCACACTTGTTTATGCTTTCCTCAGTTCATGGACATTTGTGTTGTTTCTGCTGGTCATTTACATTTAATGAGAGCTTATATTGTGTCACGAAGCACCACGAAGTCACTCACCCCATTTCGCCCATAAGGAGACAGACTTGGAGAGTGTCAAGAACTGGCCCAAGGTGAAGAGGCAGCAACTGGGGCAGCTGGGGTTTCAACTCAGGCAGGCAGACCTCAGAGGTAATAGATTCACAGGAGAGAACGTGAGAAAGGTACAAAAGGGGATTCAATGGAAATTCACCCTTCTCCCCAAGTTCCCCGGCCACCCATTTCCCTCCTCCCTTAGACACATTTACTTTTGCCACGCTGCGGATCCTTCCAGAGAGATGATTTACACTCCAACGTGGAAGTATCACAGTTTACTCACTAATGTGTCCACTGATTTGAAATATCATTTTTATGCTACACCAAATTCTTACATGTGTTGGAATTACTATTTTCAGAGTTGGCCTGACTTTTTTGCTTATCTCTAATATTTGGCATTTCTCTAGAATTCTTTTTCTCTTCTTATAGAATTTTTAAACTTTCCTCCTTCTCTTCTTTCTCTTAAGACATTATCCATTGTGTTCATTCACTCTTGTATTATTTGTAATGTCATCTTCAGATAGGACAAACTACCTGGTATCTTCAAAAAGCTAAGTTATTGAGAAAAAAAGAAACAAAGACAAAGAAAGTGAAGAGAGACATGGAAGGAGAACCCATAGATTAAATCAGACATCCAAGACCTAACAATCAAACGCCAAGTGTGGCCCTAACTTAGACCTAACTCAAACTCTTCAAAACAATTTCTATGACATTTAGGAGACAACTGCGAATTTGAGCGCTGACTGGATATTTAATAATAAACCAGGATATTAAGGAACAAAAGTCTGACATTTTAAATGTATATATCAAAGATGAACAGGTGAAAGTATATGATATTGGGGATCTGCTTAAAAAACTATGGAATAGGGTGAAACAGGGAGGGGTAGAGAGGAGACACGACAGCCATCAGCTGATAAATATTCAAGCTGAAGGAGTTCATGGCTGGTCCACGAACACCACACCATTATGTCTACTCCTGTAAATGCTTAAAATTTGTGTTAATTGTTAAAACAGGACGACACTGTAGAAGACTTTTTGGCGCTTTCTCAAAGGTTAAACGTAGAACTTCTACACGATCCAACATCTCTACTCCCACCTATACATCCAGAAGAATTCAAAGCAGGGATTTGAACAAATGTTTGTACACAATGCTCACAGCAGCATGATGCATAAGGGCCAAAAGGTAGAAACAACCCAAGTGTCCATCAACAGACGAATGGATACACAAAATGTGGTATGTACACACAATGGAATGCTATTCAGCCCTAAGAAGGAATAACATTTTGTTACATGCTGCAACATGGATGAACCTAGAAAACATTATGTTCAGTGAAATAAGCCAGATACCGAAGGAAAAATATGTCGGATTCCGCTAACATGAGGCACCTAGAACAGGCAAATTCACGGAGACGTGAAGTAGAATAGAGGTCACCAGGGGCTGGGGGAGGGGAAATGGGGCTGTTAGTTTTTCATGGTGACAGAGCTTTGCTTGAGGATGATGAAAACCGCTTGGTTACAGGCAGTGGTGACAGCTGCACAACATCATGAGTGCACTTAATGCCACTGAATTGTACACTTATGAATGGTTAAAATGATAAACATTGCTTACGTACGTTTTACTACAGTAAAAAAAAAAAAAAACATAAGGAATACCTGAGTTCAAGTTTCAATTCTTCCTTTTCTGGGCCTCAGTTTCATCATCTGTGAAATGAGTCTCTGTCACCGTCTATGCTCCGGGCTCAGTGCAGAGGAAGCACTCAGGAGGGGACGTTAGTACCACTCCCACTTCATCAGCAAAGGCCTGCTGTGCGGATTCACTGACTTAACGTGTGTGCACGCACTTTTTAAATGGCAGCTGCTGTACAGGCCTACCTCACTGTACTGTGCTTCGCTCTACCGTGCTTCACAGACGCTGCATTTCTTACGAGACCCCCATCAGCAACACGATTACAACTTGCTGAAGGCTCAGATGATGGTTCATATTTTTAAGCAATAAGGTATTATTTACTTCAGCTATGTATGATGTCCCTTTAGATATAATACTATTGCAAACTTAACAGACTATGGTATCATGTAAACATAACTTCTACATGCACTGGGAAACCAAATCATTAGTCTGACTCGCTTTATTGCGATATTCACTTTATTCAGTGACCTGGAACAGAACCTGTGATATCTGTGAGGTAGGCCTGTACAAATGTTTACAGACATTAGGTGTTATTGTTTCCGAAGGCTGTGGAACTGCCTAGAAAAAGGATAATTCTTTCCCACTGGTAATGCCACACAGGCCAACAGAACATATGTGTTTCTCTATTATATCCAAAGATATTAGGAAACGAAAGCATAAAACTTAGAGAACTGTCTTCTATCAAGATACTTACACGTGCTCTCACAACTGCCCAAAATAAGTACTGAAGATACCATGGATACTCCATTCTTTTCTTTAGGCTACTACTGTTCTTACTAGAAGTTCACTTTACTTTGAAAATATAGAACACGGGGGCCGTCCCCGTGGCGTAGTGGTTAAGCTTAGTGGGCTCTGCTTCGGTGGCCTCAGTTCACGAATTCAGATCTAAGGCACGGACCCACACCACTCATCAGCCATGCTGTAGCACTGACCCACATACAAAACAGACGAAGACTGGCACAGATGTTAGCTCAGGGCTCATCTTCCTCAAGCAAAAGAAGAGGAAGCGCGGCCACGTATGTTATCTCAGGGAGAAATCTTTCCTCAGCAAAAATATATGTATGTATTTTTTATAATATATACTTTATAAATATACATAGAACATGGAAGTTCATACAATTTCTTAAGCACATACAGAGGTATTGCCAAGTATTATATTTCAATTCACATCTTTACTCTCTTTTTCAGGTAGCAATTAGAAAAGCGTAATTAAGGAAAGCACTTGGTTCCCTTTTTGAAATACTACCCATGAGAGAAGGCCAGGATTACAACTACTGAATTACTATGCTTATTATACCATAAGAATGAAGACGGTTCCTTTCAATTAAGGGTTCCATTTACCTCTGGTTTGTATTAGTGGGGAGTGTGTGTTACATCAATAATCAGTCCAAGTTCTTCACTCTGCTCTCAGATTTTGCTGGAAACAGCCAAGGGGTAACAACATTCTTCTAGAACAAGATTCTTTTCCAAACTCTGTCAGAGAGAATGAAATAAGAAACAGCAAATGTGTGCTTCAAATCCTTTCTTATACTGTCATTCATTCAAGCCCTATGATGCTAACATACACTGTGATTCACAGGAAAGTTTCCACCCTTCTGGAAGTTACAAGCTAGATTACAATCTTTTCCCCCAGAGATTAGAGGGAAGAAAATAAGCTCACTTCTAGAGATTTACTTCTGTATTTGTGTCACGGGGGGACCTAACCAGACTGTAAACTCCCAGAAGGCAGGGACCACATCAGTGTTGTCCACCACTGTACCTCCAGCTCCAAGCGGAGTGCCTATGAGTAGGCACTTATAAATACTCCTAGAATATCTAAATAAATGAAGGATGGCTCTTAGTGCTAAATATTCTTTTATGTATTTATCTTATTTATGTACTCTGTTCCACTGATCTGTGGTTACTCAAGGGCCAGCAACACATCTTTTAAAAAACTGACAGAGGTGGTCGGCCTGGTGGCGTAGTGCTTAAGTTCACCAGCTCTACTTCGGTGGCCCGGGGTTTGCAGTTTGGGATCCAGGGTGTGGACCCAGCACCGCTCATCAAGCCGCACTGTGGCAGCATCCCACACAAAACAGAGGAAGACTGGCAGAGACGTTAGCTCAGGGCCAGTCTTCCTCACAAAAAAAATTAAAAGTAAAAAACTAATAGACTCATTTGTAGAGCAGTTTTAGCTTCATAGTAAAACGGAGCAGAAAGTAAAGAGTTCTCACTTTAACCATCTCTCCTTCACCCTACACAGCCTTTCCCACCATCACCATGCCATACCAGTGTGCTCCATTTGTTGTAATCAATGAAGCAACATTGACACATCATTATCAAAGTCCATAGCTCACATCACGGGTCACTCTGTGTTGTATAATCTATGGGCTTTGGCCAATGTACAATGACATGTATTTACCCCTAGAGTATCAGACAGATTAGCTTCACCACCCGAAAAATCCCCTGTGCTCCAGCAACACTTCTAGTATGGCTTAACATTTGGTAGGGCTAGGCAACCCTTTTCTACCTTCTTCCTTTTCAGAATTTTCCTGGTGATGTAAGTTTCTTTTGCTATACGAGCTTTAGAATCAGATGATATGAGATGACGTTAAATTTACAAATTAACTTAGGCAGATCTGACAGATCTACGATGCTGAGTCTTCCACCGAACACTGTGAAAGGTTTGAAGACTGGATTAATTACAACAAGGCGTACAATCTCTCCTGTCAGTTTCTTCCAGACTTGGAGCTGGAGGATCATTACCATCTCCAGCTATCTGAACAACAGCCAACCTGAGGTAACTCATTTAGTCACAAACCCCTTAGGAAGCCTTCCTTGATTAACCCTGTCTGTTGTCATTTCCCCCTCCTTTCCATTCCTAGGCATTTCTGCTGTGGCATTTCTGTGACACATCATTTGCCACTTGACAGTCCACTGTGCCTGACACTCGACTGCCAGGTACTGAGGCAGCTTTGCCTTGGGTGACTTCCCTCAAACACCCAGGACACCTTGTCCCATTCCACTGCCACGCAGGGGTCATTCATCTCCCTACCTCTACTGCGTGAACAGGGACTGCACTGGGAGTGGCCCTGCAGCTTCGCAACCCCCTTGATGGCGCCTTAAACAGTCCCAACACTGAAGAGTGCACACAGAACTAGAAGAGGCTTCCTATAACCACGTCACACAGGAAAGATGTTGGCTGTGCGGAGGAAAGGAGACTGAAGAGTCTTCCTGCTTCTCTCTGCTGATGTCCTTGAAGAAAAGGGGCTGAGCAGGGACCCGGGGGAACCTCAGGATCCCCTTGGAGAGACCGTGGAGCAAGGACCGAGGAGTGAGGACAATCTCGGAGAGGAGGAGGAAAATAGGAGGAAATTCACAGGCACCGCCAATGCGGGTGGCGGTGGGCCGTCAGTTCACTCATTCAACAACGACTGGCAAAGTAGCTGCGATGTGTCAAACACTAAGCTTGGTGTTGCTGGATGTGAATCAGAACCATTTGCTTATCTATGAAATCACTAATGTTTAAGTCCAGAGATGCAGAAGAATTGACAGAGTAGGTAAAGAAGAAAGAAACCCTGACCTATGAGACACAAATTAAATAAATTCCCAATACAGTCAAAGTGGGCTCTTCCTGACACTAATCCACACTGTGCCGGGCAGGGTAACGAGACATGGAATCTCTTCTCACCTTTTTTAAGTCGGTCAAATGCTTTCCCCACATATTCCCTTTTTTAGTTAAAAGAGAAACACAATTTTTCAGTTTCCATACTGAAAGCCTGACCTTGCTGATCCAGGGCATTTTTGTGGTTGTGACGAAGGGAGTGAAGGCGTCTTACGGGCGTTTAGTGGCTGAGGGTCACGGATACCAGACATCTTGCCAAATTCAAAACAGTCCCACAAATGGGTCTCACACCTGGGTGACTTTTGAACGTCCTAGTCAACATCCATAGAGGTGTAAAAACTGTTCAAAAGTATCTAAGCCTTAGAACTTGACTCCATTTCACACGTAAACACAAAGGGTTTCTTCGCAGTTTTCACGGACATTGAATGTCCGGGACAGCAGTCACCTTGTCGTCCTAGTGAAGACTGTACTTTGTTTTCATTGGAAATCTACTAAGCACAGCTCACAACCATTGAAACTCCTGCCACTAGGCAACATACCCACCCAGATCAGTGAGCACGGGCAGCTTTGGCATTCATGGCGCAAATAACTGACGATTTCTTTATTTTCAGCAAAGTCATGCCCAAGCATTGACATATGGAAATGTAAATACTTCTTACTCTATTCTAAATTACTTTATTTTACTTATCCTTTATATTATAGTCAGAGCACGGCATTGACTTTTTTCCTTAAACTTAAGTATGGAAGCAGGTTGTATATATCTATGAATTTCACTTCAGGAGAGTAAAGAGGATATTACAAAGTATCTGCTATAAAAAGGGGAAATGGAGCGAGACAGGGTTGAGGATACAGCTCTACACAGTGAATTCAGATTTCTGAAAGAATGCTAAATCAACGTTTGCTTATCTTTTCAAAAGAACTTTGAAAGCAATGAAATGAGTCCCAAGCATCTGGTGTCCAACTGGGAGACACTCTTTCCACCTAGTAACACACTTTTTGTGAGCCAAATTTGACATTAGACTGTCAATGTGTAGACTGAGGCTCCCTGAGAATGGAATTCACAGCCCACACAGTGGGTCCCCTCTGCTCTGCTTGGCATCTTGCTGCTCCCCTTCTTCAACCCCACCTAGTAACCACCTGTACTCCCCTTTTTCCTTCTTTCCCATCTTCAAAACAGATACAAGGCAACAAAACAGAGCAAACGTCTCCACAAACAAGGTCTAAGACACAGATGGCCAGCCCTTCTGTATCCCTGATAACCCAGCCCAGTCCCGAATGCTAAGGTTCATCACCACTCCCATGCTGACTGTAATTGTTTTATTATTATTATTATTATTTTATTGCGGTAACATTGGTTTGTAACACTATACAAGTTACTGGTATACATCATTATATATTTTGCTTTCTGTGTAGATTACATCATGAATCGAGCCACCCAAAGGCTAATTACGATCTATCACCACACATGTATGCCTAATTACCCACTTCTCCCTCCCCTTTCCCCCTCTGGTAACCACCAATCCAATCTCTGTTTCTCTGTGTTTGATTTTCATTGTTTTATCTTCTACTTATGAATGAGATCACACGGGTTTTGACTTTCTCCCTCTGACTTATTTCACTTAGCATAATACCCTCAGGGTCCACTCACGTTGTCATAAATGGCCGGATTTCATCATTTCTTATGGCTGAGTAGTACTCTATTGTGTATACATACCAATCTTCATTTATCCATTCATCCCTTGATGGGCACCTAGGTTGCTTCCAAGTCTTGGCTACTGTGAATGATGCTCCGATGAACATAGGGGTGCATGTATCTTTATGCATTTGTGTTTCACGTTCTTTGGACAAATACTCAGAAGTAGAACAGCTGAATCATATGGTAGATCTATTCTTAAGATTTTGAGGAATCTCCATACTGTTTTCCCCAGTGGCTGCAGCAGTTTGCACTCCCACCAGCAGTGTAGGAGGGTTCCCTTCTCTCCACATCCTCTCCAACACTTATTGTTTCCTGTCTTGTTCATTATAGCCATTCTGACCGGAGTGAGGTGACACCTCATCGGAGTTTTGATTTGCATTTCCCTGATAGTTAATGATGTTGAGCATCTTCCCATGTGCCTGTTGGCCATCTGTATATCTTCTTTGGAGAAACGTCTATTCAGATCTTTTGCCCATTTTTCAATTGGGTTGTTAGTTTTTCTGTTGTTGAGACGTACGAGTTCTTTGTATATTTTGGATATTAACTCCTTATCAGATATATGATTTGCAAATATGTTCTCCCAATTGTTAGGTTCCCTTTACGTTTTGTTGATGGTTTCCTTTGCTGCGCAGAAGGCTTTTAGTTTGATGTAGTCCCATTTGTTTATTTTTTCTATTGTTTCCCTTGCCCAGTCAGACAAGGTACTTGAAAACATCCTGCTAAGACCGATGTCAAAGGGTGTACTGCCTATGTTTTCTTCTAGAAGTTTAATGGTTCCAGGGCTTACATTCAAGTCAATCTATTTTGAGTTAATGTTTGTGCATGGTGTAAGATAATGGTCTACTTTCACTCTTTCGCATGTGGCCGTTCAGTTCTCCCGACACCACTTATTGAAGAGACTTTCTTTTCTCTTTTGTATGTTCTTGGCTCCCTTGTCAAAAATTAGCTGTCCATAGATGTGTGGGTTTCTTTCTGGGCTCTCGATTCTGTTCCATTGACCTGTGTGTCTGTTTTTGTGCCAGTACCATGCTGTTTTGGTTACTATAGTTTTTTAGTATATTTTGAAATCAGGGAGTGTGCCACCTCCAACTTTGTTCTTTTTTCTCAGGATTCCTTTGGCTATTCGGGGTCTTTTGTTGTTCCATATAAATATTAGGATTCTTTGTTCTATTTCTGTGAAAAATGTCGCTGGAACTTTGATAGGGATTGCATGGAAAATGTAGACTGCCTTAGGAAGTATGGACATTTTAACTATGTTAATTCTTCAAGTCCAAGAGCACGGAATATCTTTCCATTTCTTTGTGTCTTCTTCAATTTCTTTCAGCAAGGTTTTATAGTTTTCAGTGTACAGATCTTTCACTTTGGTTAAGCTTATTCCTAGATACTTTACTCTTTTTGTTGCAGTTGTAGATGGGATGGTATTCTTAATTTCTCCTTCTGCTACTTCACTGTTAGTGTATAGCAACACAATGGATTTTTTGTATGTTGATTTGTATCATCCAACTGACCATATCATTATTGTTTCTAAAAGTTTTTTACTGAATTCTTTAGGTTGTTCTATATATAAAATCATGTCATCTGCAAATAGTGACA